ACTCCAATGGAGCGATCCGGATTTACACCAGCTGGGGGGCTAGCCCCGTTGAGTCCAATGGAGTGATCCGGATTTACACCAGCTGGGGGGCTAGCCCCGTTGAGTCCAATGGAGTGATCCGGATTTACACCAGCTGGGGGGCTAGCCCCGTTGAGTCCAATGGAGTGATCCGGATTTACACCAGCTGGGGGGCTAGCCCCGTTGAGTCCAATGGAGTGATCCGGATTTACACCAGCTGGGGGGCTGGCCCCGTTGACTCCAATGGAGCGATCCGGATTTACACCAGCTGGGGGGCTAGCCCCGTTGAGTCCAATGGAGTGATCCGGATTTACACCAGCTGGGGGGCTAGCCCCGTTGAGTCCAATGGAGTGATCCGGATTTACACCAGCTGGGGGGCTAGCCCCGTTGAGTCCAATGGAGTGATCCGGATTTACACCAGCTGGGGGGCTAGCCCCGTTGAGTCCAATGGAGTGATCCGGATTTACACCAGCTGGGGGGCTGGCCCCGTTGACTCCAATGGAGCGATCCGGATTTACACCAGCTGGGGGGCTAGCCCCGTTGAGTCCAATGGAGTGATCCGGATTTACACCAGCTGGGGGGCTAGCCCCGTTGAGTCCAATGGAGTGATCCGGATTTACACCAGCTGGGGGGCTAGCCCCGTTGAGTCCAATGGAGTGATCCGGATTTACACCAGCTGGGGGGCTAGCCCCGTTGAGTCCAATGGAGTGATCCGGATTTACACCAGCTGGGGGGCTAGCCCCGTTGAGTCCAATGGAGTGATCCGGATTTACACCAGCTGGGGGGCTAGCCCCGTTGAGTCCAATGGAGTGATCCGGATTTACACCAGCTGGGGGGCTAGCCCCGTTGAGTCCAATGGAGTGCACGGGGGAGCTTGTCCCAGGCTCCATGAGGACTCCGGGGGCTACTGCCAGAGAGGAGCTGGGTTAGATCCGCGGCGGTAGAATGGGGTCACTCGCCTGTTCCCGGGTTCCCCTGGCTGCTGAGCCCTTTGGGAGCTCCTGGCCCTTAGGGCGAGCTGGGTTTGGGGAGGACTGATTGGGAAGGTGCCTGGCTGGGGAGGATGCCTGGCTGGGGGGGGAGGTCACTGAT